GGAACTTTTATGTCTGACCAATTCAGCAAGAGAAATGAACATCATTCACAAAAGCATCACTACATCTGAAAAGGATTTCTAACCATGAGAACTGAGAAAGCTACATAATTCTATCGCTACTCAACTGAATAGTTCTAAGCTTTTCTTTTCTTTTTTAAATTTAGTAAATTTTATTTAGTTTTCAAAATTTAAAAACATAAAATAAAGCTTTATACATCATTATATCAATGTCAAGACATCTTTTAAATTTCCTTATCATCTTTCTATAGACACATTTTTTCATTATACAATTTCAACTTAACATATAAATAAATAGTTCTAAGCTTTTCTAATGGACCAAAATCAGAACAGGGTTCTGCAAGCATTGAAAATTAAGATTTTGCTAGTATCCATATGCATCTGACATTGGGAACTGTCAGTACAATATCTATCCTTTAGAATTGATGCCTGAAAGAAGAGATAGGAATAATTCAGCAGTTTGAGTAAAGTTTGATTTCTAATGATTTAACAGGAATGTCCAAATACTTCTCTTAGCAACTATACAAAAGAGAGAGCCTAGTGCCTTCTTTGGGGATTTTTTAAAATCTTCCCAGTGTAGTCTACAGCTCTTTCTGGTGGTCTTCTGTCTATCTGTCTCATGGACCTTGGGCTAACTATGCATATTAAAACACTAATATGTTGGCTTGGATTTCTTATTCTTTTCTGAACGTGCTCTTTTTGCCTTGTTACATCATTTTTCCTTCTCATTTTCCGCTATGGAGTTGGGCAATCATATATAAATTTGATAAATAAATAAATCCCAGTACTTCTGTTTGGAATATTATACCTGCTCCTGTTTTGAAATTAAGGGTCATAGTCATTACATTCCACACCAGGGAAAATAGATGTTTCAAAAATTGCATGATGAAAAGATTTCTGAATACCATGAGAGACAGAACAGAATGCGTCCAGATCCAAACCAAGATTTCATATAATCATAGAGTTGGAATGGGCCTCTTAGACCAGGGGTGTCAAACTGGCAGCCCACGGGCCGGATTCATCACATGAAGGCCACACCCACCCCAGCTCCGTAAATGGGAAAAATATCACAAAACATCATGTGATGGCAACATGATGCAGCGAGTTTGACACCCGTGTCTTAGACCAACCTCCTTTCAGTCCAAGAATCTAAACTCAAGCACATTAAACAAATTGCCATCTGGCCTTCACTTTAACATTTCTAATTGAGTGGGGAGAGGGCAACAGTTCCACAATTACTGTCTTTTTAAAGAGTTCAATTGGAATCTACACTGGCAACTTCAGTCCATTACTTTATATCCTATAGCCTGGAATAAGAGAGACCTATGGACATATTCTCAGATTATTTCAAGTCTGTCTTCAGAATGGTCCCCTTAAGTCCCCTCTAGGAAGCAGAGAATTTCTGTTTTTACACAGTGTATATCCTGTGTTGTATTTTTATTTACATTATGTAAAAAAAGTTCCGCATTTCCCCTTAGTTTCCTTTTGTCAAGGTTAAATATACCAGCTCCTTCAACTCTTTTCAGACCTTAATTTCTGGTCCCTTGATCATATTCACTGGTCTTTTCTAAGCCTGTTCTAGTTCCTCTGAATGCTCCATAAAAGTGCCCAAAACTGAACACAATAGACAGAGTGGGTTCTGACTGAGGTAGAATAGAGTAGAATAACTATTTCTCATAGTTTGGAATATATATTTCGACTGACGCAGCCTAAAATCACATCTGATTTTTTTTTGCAACCACATCACCATATTTACAATCAACTATTACTATAAGATCTATTTACATAAGCCTCTTGAGCATTTGTACAATTACTTATATACATTTAATAGCAAAATCACAGTATTTAATTTAATTCTTTAATTCTTATATTTATAAAACTCCATTCTGTGTTTCTGGAAGTTTCTTTTTATTTTAAAATGATTGTTAATGGCTTTTATACATTAGTCTTGATTTTATTGGAATGTTGTTTCTACCTGTAGTGAGATGATCGGAGTCGTTTAAATAAGATGGGTGACATACTAATTGAATTAATAATAGTAATAACAACTACAACGAGAATCACAACAGAGTAGTTGTTATTTACGTAGCTTGTTTTACACTGCCTTCTTCCATTCCTACTTTTCAATTTCCACAGCCTTGGGATTTCCTGATGGTGTCCATTTTAGTATTAGTCAGATCCAATTCTGCTTAGTTTTTTGAGACTAGCTTTAAGAAGCTTGAAAAATGTCTAACATTTCTATCTCTAGAAACCAGGTGAAAATTCAGAGCCTGTCAGCTTTTTTTGCAAGGGCTTGAAGGCAAGGTCACCAAAGGTACACAAATCTGTTGTCCGTAAGGCTTCTGAGCAATAGGAATAAACCCAGGAACGAAAATTGGAAAGAAAACAAATAAGAATCATTCTACTTTCCATCTATGAGCTGACAATGTAAACATGTTCCTTTTCCAAGTGTCACCTTTGCCTGAAATGAGTGATTGGCTTCAAAAATGCATTAAAAAACTGGCATGGTTATTTTGACCTGAAAAACTATATCCCAGGTAGATGCTGGCAGGTAAACATTCGGACAGCTTAGAACATTTTTTCACTATGATGTCATAGTATGGATGGTTTAAACAGAGAGACTGAAAGATGCTATTGTCTTGGACAGCTAAAAAAATTATGATGGAGTCCCAGTTAATGCTTTTCCTTTCTGTCTCATCCAAAATAGTCATCTACTAATGCTACTCTACATCAATACAATTCATATTTTTAAACATTCAACTGGAAGAGGATTTGTTCAATATAATCTGCAAAAGCAATATGCTCATTGCAGGGCATGTTACCTCACATATACACTACAGTCATGTGTTTATTTTTGTGATACTGTAGTGGTGTTTCTGGAGACATGAGCAAAGAATGCCAGGCATGTATGTCAAGAGTACATCATCTCAGCAGGGTTACTCAAGGTGTAAAGGTCATCCCAGCTGCCCAGGTAAAGTAAGCAGTCACCTATATTGGGTAGCAGCATTATGGGAAGATGCTAGAAATAGATAGAAAATGATCATTTCACACCATGTAGGACAAAGCTATGGACAATCAACCTATATTTTGTCATGAAAACAACATGGATAGAAGACATAAAATAGTGGAGGGGACAGGGTTGGATGATGGGCTCTTCAACTGTGGCTTTCAACAGGCTGCTGAATAAGAGCTGAGGATCTTTTGGAGTACAAAGGATGTTTATGACATCACTAGTCTAAAGCTGTGGGACATCTAGTTGCCATGTAGTGAAAGAAAATCTGAAGCTGCTAAGACACAATTCTAGTGGAAAAATGGAGATGAGGTGCTCGCTTGAAAAAAAAAAAAGGTTGGACTACTTTGTGGGAACCACGGAGATTGGTGGCTATTAGCCTTGATGGCTCTGTGACTACTTTTGAAGGCCATTTTCTGGGAGATTGATGGCCTTCCTTGTGGAGTTGTTTGACTACTGTGAAAATAGACAGTTGGACGAGATAGACTAGGGGTGTGATCTAGCATGGTATGCTTACGTATTTAACAAGCATGTACATGGAAAAGTTTAACACAATAAAAGATTAAATAAATAAACCGATTAGTTTGGCATTTTAGTTATCAGTGAATAAAAATTCAACATTTTTGAATCAGAAGGTCATATATCCACTGAAGACATGAAAAATAAGGAAGGAACAGTGTTTTTATCATCAGGAATTATCCTGGAAGGCCAGTGCTTGAGTACAATGTGTTCAATGACCAAATAATATCAATTAGATTTTTCAGACAATGATTGAATAGGACAGTTGTTCAAGTTTATATTCCAACCACTGGTGGAAAAAAGATGAAGTTAGCCAGATTAATAGTAGTGTTTAATTTTAAACAGAATATGCAAGCTGTTGGTTGAAAATTGGAATGCCAAAACATTACAAAGGAAAACATAACTGAACTGTATGGTCATTCCTGAAGTGAAGCAGGAATATTTCTTTTCAAATTCTGCCAATCCAATTATTTCTTCAGTGCTAACATAGTCTTCAAGCAACTATATACATAATCTTCATCAGGTAGTATATAGAGAAGTAATCTTGCATAAAATTACTGGTACTAGAAGATGGAACTTCTGAATGATAATGGCAAAGATGTGCCTACACTGTTGAACAGATCAGAACAGTACAAGTTCTAAGACAAGCTACAGCACAGAAGAAAGCCAACCAGCTTCCGTGGTAGTGTACGAGGTTGACTCCGTGCCCACCATTTCCAAGAAGAACATCTGAAATTGCTCTGAAATCCTGAATCTCATTGATATGGAACCAGTAGAACTGAGGAATGAAGCCGAACATACTGTCTACTTTCAAAAATGTTTAGTATTAGATGAAATTAGAGCAGCAATCCAACATAACCCTGAGGAGAGGTTTGTAAGCTTCTGATTTGCCTTTTGATTAACCACAATTTTGCCTTTCATTCAAAGCAACAAGTTGTGGATAATGTTGGCTATGACTCATTTGAATCAAGAGAAATACTCTGGAAAATTTTCAGACGTCCAATGAAGTAGGAAAGAGGTCATCCATGATTCCACCCACTGCTGCAGCTTCTCCTACTTTACTAAGTATGGCAAGTCCAGTCACACCTATATCGGATCCATTCAAAATGTGACCAGGGCTGCAGAGTAATAATTATGAGAACGATACTTGCATAATAAAGAAGGAGAAAAATAAAATTGGTGTTGATTCAAGAACGTACAAGAAAAAGGAGTAAACTATATGCCTTTGTACGTTGCATCGATTTCTAATTGGGACTAATGAGGATGCTCTAAAAAAAAAGAGTTGTTTTCAAATTATTCTCTTTGTTTCAGGACTATCCGTTCAGGCTAATGTTTTCTGCCTTCTTTGAATGATGACGAAAGGTATTCTAAAACGAATCAGTAGCAATATGTTTCCCTAGTGCTTTTCTTTTTAAGACAATGTGAAATATATCCGACCGATACATTTTCTTACCCTTCTGTTCTGTACATTGAACATCTCTCCAGGGGGATTTTTAGCACTCCATTATTCAAACCAACAAACAATGATCTGCCACTGTGCAATATTTGAAGACTTTGGATTGGCTCTTTTTGGCTGGTGGGAAGAATCTGCATTTCCTCTAAATAACAGCTCCTCAGGCTCTTGTTGGTAGTAGACAGTGCCTTCAAAATAGTGCCGTGCTCTAGCAAAATGAGAAACACAACACAAGCAAATCACTGTGTTAATTTATTTTAACATCCAGGATAGAGATATTAGCTAGATTCCATTTATAGGTAGTCCTTGACTTTCAACCACATGTTCAGTAACCACTCAAAGATATGTTATTAAAAAAAAAATGACTTACAATCTTCCTCACACTTAAGACTATCACAAAATTCCCCCAGACACGTGCACTTGGCAGCCAGCATGTATTTATGATGGTTGCAGAGTTCCGGGATCATGTGATTGTCATTTGGGACCTTCCCAGCTGGCTTCTGATAAGTGAAGTCAAGCTGATTGTACTTAATGACCATGTGGTTCACTTAACTAAAGAAGTGAGTTGCTTAACAACTGGGGCAAAAGTGGTCATAAGATTGGGTATGCCTCACTTAACAACCACATGGCTTAGCAACATAAAATCTGATCCCAATTGTGGTCATAAGTCGAGGACTGTCTGTATACAGCTGTTTTGCAACCCTGCTTCGTTCTCATTTCTTACATCTTCTCTTTTTAAATGTACAAATAAAAACACAGGTTAAAAATGTAATTTTTCATTTTTTGAAAATAAAATAGCATTACTGCATTTCCTGACAATTGATATTCTTTATAACAGGGGTGTCAAACTCGCGCCCTGCAGGCCGGGTGCATCACACGCTGGCCATGCCCACCCCCGGTTTAGTGAAGGGGGAAAAAAGTCACGATACGTCACAAGATGACAAAGTGACGTCGCGAGTCTGACACTCCTGCTTTATAAGCATAAAGTGGCCTAAGCACATATCATAGACACAGGAGAAGCATTTTGAACAAATCAAAGAGTTCCAAAAAGTTGTTACTCCCTGAAGCAGATAAATATAAGACTACCAACTATTGGATGCATCTATATTTATCAGTATTCCTTTACTGCAAGCTAGCACAAATGTATCTTGCAGAACTTACATAAAGCTATAATAGTATGTTCTCAATTTGTTTCAGTCTAATATGCTAACATTGAAAATACAATTACAAATTCAAAAGGAGCACTGTACATGATTTCCACCTGAAAATTAGGACACACTAAACACAACTGTTTTTTACATGGCCCAGTGGTCAATCATGTGTGATAACTGATGGGAAGCTTATATATAGGCTTAAATTATAGTAGACCTCTGAGCGGACTCTAATGTGGCTATGACATTAGTCTTGAATGGACAATTATGACTTAGCAGATTTGAGCATTATGTATCAAATAAAATTTGTAATTTTATTTGCAGCTACTCTTTTATGCACATTTACTGAACTCAACTCAGTTAAGTTAGATCAATATCTAAAAGAGAACATGGTGTAGAGGAGAGTCACTCAAAACAGAGACAGAGCTTTGCGCTGTTTGAATCTAGGGAAAGTACTTCAGAGCTCAGGCAAGCATAAGCACCTATATGCAGCAAACAGCCAACTTTTTCCTGGAATAGCACAGCACAACATGGATTAAGCAGCCATGTTGAGGCTATACATGTGGCCTTTTAGAAAGCATGTGTCAAAGTTCATCATCAAATTGAGTTAAGTTGGTGGTCATGGGATAAGATGATCCATCCTGTATTGGGGCTCAGAGATTGGAGGAGGGGTCCTGTCCTTTGAGGGGAAAATGAGGTTAAACCATAGATTTAAGGTCAAAGATATTTATGGAAAGTTATTTCTCTGCATCTATGCCCCTGTTGCTTAGATGGTTGCTGGACCTAATTAAAAGTTAAATTGGAATGGAACAACAAACCACATTCTAAACAGCAAATTGCTGGCACAGACACTTCCCTGGAAGAAAGAGTGGATAGATGCAATTAAATTAAGAGACACAGCTTGAGAGACAAGGAGATTTGTTCTCTCAAGAACTACCACTCCAGAGAACCTTATGTATTACCTGGAGGAAGGAACAAATGGTGAGTGAACAAAGTACCCTCTCTATCTACCCATCCCTCTCTTGTAGAAATCAGGCTGGCACCCCCCCTGATTGCACTCACAAGGTTGCTAAGGACAGAGCGGTTCCGAAGAGCATTTTAATCAAAACAGACCATTTCCTTTTCTTTATTTATAGGTGTTTTATTTGTGAATTCTTTTGCCTTATTTTAAATTGTTCTTTTAATAATAATTGAGATTTGATTTTATATTGTTGTTGCAATTACTATAGATGTTTTAAATTGTTTTTCGGTACCATGTTAACTGAGAGTAGTTTTGATTGTGTGGGAAATA